GGGGAGGGGCCCTGCGTTAGTCAGACGCAGGGCCCCCCGTCCCCCCCCCCCGATGTGTCGGTCGGCAGCAGGGGGTCCTGCGTTTGGCAAACGCAGGACCCCCGCGATCCCCAGGGTCGACACATGCGGTTGCTGCCCATAGTGTGAGGTAGAGATAGGTCTGCCGTCGGCATGTGGCGTGAAATTGCTTTTGTATTTTGGTTTTTTCCATCTGGGTCAAGACTGACCACAAGGTCAGCCTTGACATTGCTCTGTTCAAGGGGTATGGTCAGAAGGCATTCGGTATGAAAGCCTTCAGCAGCAAGCGGGASGGGAATGCTTCGAGGATGCTCTTACCCATTGAATTCCTCACCAAGACCAATGGGTATAGGAGAAGTGGTCAATACCCRACGGTCTCCGCTGGTTACCAGCTCTCGTTGCCTCTTGTGTCGTTCGACGCTCCAGGAGAAAGTCTCGCAGGCTTGTCAGCGTGCTCTAGCGATCGGCGGCAGGATGTCTCGACTCCACAACCATCTGTGTCCGCGAAGGAGAAACTCATTACTTACCAGAGGCGTCCGAGCGGTGGGTCATCGGGAAACGTTCCGAAGAGGAAGGTGCTCGACAAACCACCTTCCAGTCTTCCGGGAAGCTCGCGTGCCGGTAGAAGCTCGCGCTCGTGGGACACCTCCCAACGTCGAATGGACGAGGAGTCAAGCGAGAAGATGGAGGACGGTGAACGGATTCGCCGATTGCAATCCCTGTCACTAGCCACGCGAAGGTTCACCCAGGGCGAAGGCTCTTGCGATGTGAATGAAGAGCGGGAGGATAGTAGAGGTGACGAAGCCCGGGCGAGGGGCGATGGAGAAGACGATGAGAATGAAGGAGAATGTGGTGGTGGGCAGGACCACATGGATTGCGAAAAGGCAGCGGCAAGCGGCGGGGTGCTCGGTGGTAATGTGGGTGGCTCGGAGATGGAAGACCAAGAGATGGAAGATGAGGAAATGGAAGACGAGGAAATGAAAGACGAAGGACAGGATGTCGATGTTTCCGCGGAGCTTACTTCGAAGAGGAGGGGAAAACGCACAGCGGAATCGTCGCCGAAGCGAGCCGCGCCTAAGAAGCAGGCTCGAAGAAAAGTTGTGCAGGACGCTCGGCTCGCCTTGGATGCAGCTGGTGGTACGGCTGGTGAAGCCGGTGTGGAATCCAAATCCAAAGCTCGGGTTCGCAAAACGTCGCAACCCAGGAAGCCTGTGCGGCCGTCGAGGCACCCGAAATCGGATGACTCGAGCGACGATGCTGAAGGGGTGGCCTCTCTCTCTCTCTCTCTCTCTCTCTCTCTCTCTCTC